AACTCACCCCGCCCCACACCCTCCCCCGAAAAGAAGCAAAATCGGTGGTGAGATTAACGTCCCGCCCATTTTTGCGCACGACTCTCTGCGTATAGATGGGAATCTCATTATACTGACCACCTCTATGGTTCCTTGGTTCTGCGACAAGGGTACTAAGCATTGGCGGATCCAGTGAGAGAGAGAGAGAGAGAGAGGGGGTGGGGGTGGTTTAACCCCTGAACTCTTCCCCAAATGTAAATTCCTGGATCTGCCCATGAATATGTTATTCTCTCCGCTTACGCCCACACGGTACATGTCATGCTCACATGTTTGAATTATCTGTCCATTATGTAATTGTTTGGGTATTGAATTCGTGAGCTGTCGATTTTTCTAAAATTTATCGTATGGTCAAGATTGCTGAAAGCACAAATGACTGATTTGCTAAGAAGGCGATGGTATTGCTGGGACATTGCTAAAAGCGGAGTAAAACTAAACTAACTCACTCACTCCAGATGAAATCAAGATAGACAGATCAGGTGTGAAACGAACGCTGTACTTTCTCTTGTTTGAAATGTCAACAAAGCAAACATTCAGATTTAGTACTGCGTTGTGAATTTCCCTATTTTTATTGGCGGCCATGGGTTTAATTAACGCCATTTTGTACATTAGTTCAGTACTATTACACGTTAGCTTGGAGTTATGAAGACAGCAAATACTTGCGTTAGACGTAACGTTAGTGTGTTGGGTTCATTTGGTATCAGGGTTCTGGTGCGCCAAAGAGGTGCAACTCTGCACAGTAAATGGCGGTTCGCCTGGCACCATTCTCTCAACAGCTGGTAAAATGATAGTTTTGGCTTTACCCAACTATGAAGTATTCCTCCCCATACACCGCAGTGGGTATTGGTATAACTAATATATACATGTGTGTTTGTACATGTTAAAATGTTCCGTTAGATCGAGCATGTATGTACATGTTAAAATGTCCCGTTAGATCGAGCGTGTATGTACATGTTTAAATGTCCCGTTAGATCGAGCGTGTATGTACATGTTTAAATGTCCCGTTGGATCGAGCGTGTATGTATATGTTTAAATGGTCCTTTATTATCAAAATCGTGGGGATCCCGGGTCAGGATCTAGGTCTCAGTACTCTGTAACCTGTTTGTTACGTAACGCCGCACTGAGCGATATTCAAACTATATGGCGTCGGTCTGTATATATTCCGGTCTGGACCAGACAATCCCGTGATGAACATAATGAACATCGATGAACGCAGTTGGGATACAATGCCATGCATCAATCAAGTCAACGAGAATAACCATCCAATCCCGACTCACCTTTTGATATCAACCAGTGTTATTTTAGGCAAAGCGATATTACTGAAAGTGATCTCTAAAACACTAGGTACATCCTAAATAACGCCATTACTGGCGTTATTTGGGCATGTTTTCAAAGTAAATATCGGATATTTTCGAGAACTGAATTCTTAAAGTAGCATTTGAGTGATTACTGATCTCTGTATTTCATTAAATCATCAAAGATTATTCTGAAACCTGCCGTCGACTCTAGAATAGGTTGGAAACACACAAACGCAAACCCCTATCAAATTTTCCGCCATATTGGATAGTGTTCGTGTTTCACGTAAGCCGGTCATGAGACGCCTATAACATCACGTATATTTCAAACACATACATAACTTAGTTCCTCAGACTCTAAACAGTGTATGACAAACAGGAGAATATAATTGACTGTTTTAGAACCCATATCAAAATTTCGGAAAAAAACATTGCAGTGTCCTTTTTTCAATCAACTTTAGTATGGGCACTTGAATTCACACATCAAGTCGGAAAAATATATTCTAATTAATTCTGAATTTTATGTCATTAGGTTTGTTTGTTGTTTAACGCCGTATTCAGTCGTATTCAAGCTATATGACGACCGTCATACATTTATAAACGGAATAATTTTTACAATAATATTTCTTTAAATGAATAGATCTCAAATGAGAGTATAATGGAAATTAAAGTAAAAAAAGTAAAATTCACCTTCTAAATCCTGAGAATTACAATTTATACATAGTCGTTTATCCCTTGGGGTTTTACTGCTACTATATGTACCTGTTTCAGTTAGTAATGTATGGGATGATAATCTTAATTTGCTTAGTGCATATCTGTGTATGCAATTTAAAAACATTAACTAGATACATTTCAAAACGTATCCTTAAATTGTTTATATAACTGATAAGTAGTAGAATTTCTCATTTCCTGGTACCAATAAGTAATAAATTTATCCTGCAGTAGTTGTTTTAACAGTGACATGAAAACTGGAACATTTACATCAAAGCGAGACTACCACGTAGATATAACCCGTTTACTTTTAAAATATCTTTTACTTTACGATACCAACCAGAGCTTTATCTAACATAATATCATGTATATCAACGCCAGAGGTAACATTTTTCTGTAATTTTAATTCTAAAAGTAGCATTTTAGTGACAACTGATCTCTGTTTTTCATCAAATCACCAAAATGATTATTCTGTAACGTTGCTGAGAACACGAATGTCTCTCTGTGCTTTCCGCCAAATTTGATAGTGTTTAAAGATCGCGTTTCACGGACGCCGGTCATGAGACGCCTGTAATATATTAAATCAAGTATCGCTCACACACGTACATAACTCAGTAGTTCCTCATGCATTGGAGACTTTTATCAGTGTACGATAAAAAGGGGACAATCAACTGTTTTGTAACCCGTGTCAAACTTTAGTTCAATCAACCATTATTACGGTAGGTTTGTTTGTGTTGTGTTGTTCGTTGTTTAACATTCAGCAACATCCCAGCTATAGGGCACCTGTAAATAATTGAGTGTTGACCAGACAATCCCGTGACTGACACCATGTGCATGAAGCAGGTCAGCGAGTCAGACCTCCCGATCTCGTTATCGGCTCTTTCTACAAACTTGAGTTGCTGTTCAGACCAATTCTTACCTGGAATTCCACGGGTTACGGCCGTAGCTAGATATATACAGACACACAGTAAAGCTCCAAATGCTCGTCTAACTAAAGTCCGTTTGATTTCATTTGAGACCGATGAATTGCTCACTAACAATAAATCTAATAATTGCAACAAAACCAAATTTTGCACAGTCACATGAAATCGACACACCAACACTGAAATCTTTAAATCGCAAACAGTGACATTTCGCCCTTCACTACCATGTCTTAGATATGTGTAATGGATTCTTCATGTATCACCAGCTTTGATGCACCAGTAGGGATAACAGCGCCTAATCCGTTTCCACTAAGCAGATACTCCGAAACATGAGCCTGAAATAAATAATTGGCTCCCCGCTGGGCTCAAAAATAACTTTTATAACAGATCTTACGGATTATTTGTGTCTTTGTGTTATTGTATTTGTCGATTCTGATGGGATTCAAATTGCATGGGTTATCAAAATAATGTCAGGAAAGAACATTCTGCTGAAAGACTCATTCTAAGACAATTTTACTATTCCCCGTCGACAAGTGATTAATAATGTGTAAAGAGATGTCTTTCTATGTAGACGAGACAAAAATGTACAAAATGAAATCAGCAGAAATGTATTTAGGCAACAGTTTAAATTAGTGGTTTCATCATTCTCCTGATACAACTGTAGGCAATGATACATATGAAAATAAGGAAAATTAAAAGTATACTGGGTATTAACTTAGTTCCAAATATTAGAACAATGATAAGTGTTTCAAACGCTAGATACGTATATATCTGTGAAACTGAACACCAAAACACACACACACACACACACACACACACACACACACACACACACACACACACACACACAGAGAGTTGCGCCACACACGTGCATATGGTGTCATTCCTGAGTTTACACTGGCGTGTAGAAAACAAGATGTCAGTGAATCCAAAGAAGTCCAAAGTAGTACATGTCAGAAATATGGAGCCTGGACAACGTGTTCTTACAAGTGTGGAGATATTGAGCTAGATATCACAGATCCGTACACCTATCTCGGAATTCTGCTCACATAGCACCTGGACTACACTAGGATATGGAGAGAGCTGCCTCTTACTCTGTTAGTCGGGCCAGAATTAACAATCTCCAAGTTCAAAATTCAAAAGGATGGGATATGAAACATTCACAAAGTTGTACGACTGTAGGGTCTGGTTGATTAAATCTTTATGGTGCAGCAATCTGGGGTCCGTATGCACTACAAGCCGTTAACTCAGAATAGAGCTATTCGTTCTTATACTCTCCTAACGCAGTAGTATCCGGGGACGTGGGATGGACTCCGCCCTGCGGGACAGTGGGACACCCTCGCCAGATTTTACGAACGCCTGTGTACCATCAACCAAGCCAGACTTGTATTCAAGGTATTCAAGTGGCCAAACGTGAAAGCGGACAGTAATGTATGGTGGCAATAAGTTACAATTTTACCGCCGTACCTATTTTCGCTGCGGCACCGCCCCTCTATGTATTGAAACTGGTCGCTATACCACACCAGTAGAAGAAAATAATTATAAAGATTGTTTAACTGTAAAGATTGTGTTATTATGTTTTACTATATTGTATCCCGATTACCGTTTAGCTTTGTTATATCAATGTAATTAACAATTTTGATATTTTACTGATGTGAGAAAATGTTATGTCATTCCCGGACGTTGTTTATTTTACTGCCAAAACGTGCAAACTTGTTTTACAGAGGAGGAGAGGTTTATTGTTTGACAATTAATATATTATTATTCATCTTATTTGTATTGTGCATTATATTTATTTGATTTTATGTACAATTTTATGTAATCTATTATTTCATAGTCTCTCACAACCCATTGTGGGTGGCTCACATTTATATATAATACCCGCCGTGATGTTGCTGGAATATTGCTAAAAGCGGCGTAAAACCAAACTCAGTCAGTCAGTTATATATAATACGATTTTATGCTTGTATACCATATGTAACAGGAGATTGTGTTCATAGTTTTAGCAATAAAGTTTTATGTTTATCATTTCAAGTTGTTTTTGTGTTCATTAGTTTATAAGCTTGGGTTACTTATCCAAGCAGTTGGTCTGTTTAGGGCCTCAACAGTCTAGCTTTCAATACAATAGCCCTCAGCTTCCTATTAGATTAACATTATATAACTACAGCTTTCCTCCATAGCATTTGCACACTTTTCTAGTCACACTGCTAACAACTCTGTACTGGACAAGCCATTCAGCACAGCTCAGGTTAGACATTTACTTTATATTAACCTAAATAGAATCTCAACCTATCCATTAAATATGTTATAAATAATATAAAGTGTTGTAAATATTAACATTTTATATCAAGTAGCCAATGTACCTTTTAATTTATCAATATGAAATGTCTAAATGTATGTATGCGTGAGAGCATGATTTGATTGGTAGTTTGAATGCAATATTGAACAAGAAAGTCCTTTCCACATTATTAATGTAGCCTTAGTAATATATTGTACTTATTATTTGTTTTAGGAATGCAATAACCCAGAATTCTAGTGTGGGTATATAGACACACCCCGGTGTCACCCACAGGGTATGTACATATTATCTTTTATCATGTATGTAATTATAATATATGTGTGATTTAATTATCGCCTCTATGATCATTTAAGTTGATCATTTGCATATTAAATTACAACCATTATGTAGTGTTTTATACATCAGTGGTAATAAGAATAACTTATTTTGAACTAGTTATGTGCAACTGTACTTGTTGCATGTTTAGATTAATGTATAGCATTCTTTCTTATATTACAGGGTGATTGACTGATCAATTGAATAATTGACATATACATATGATGTTGGAATAAACGTCACCTCACAAACACACCCGCAGCTCGTCATTATTATTGACTCACCCCTGCAACAATGAAGCCCCCAGCGAGGAACTGACGTGCTATACAGGACACCCACATCTTGTGATAATTCGTGGATCATATCCACTGTGAGTTGTGCATTCCTTGATGCTATGATTTCCTCCCCAGCTATACAAGTGTGCAGTCAGCAGAGACTTTGAACCATGTTGTGAATTTTTGTGACGTCATATCTTGTGATTGTGATTGACATTCTAAGCTTTGATAAACCAAAACAAACTTTACGGAAGCTTCCGTCATAGACATGGATATTACCAGTTGCAACTGACTGTTCGTCCACCATTGTCTCTTTCAACCTTTAAATTGCTTGTTTTTTATTTCATCTGTAATTTACAACCTGTATTATGTTAGTTATTCACTATTTCGTTGTACTTGCTCTGCTCATAAGACATTCTATATTTGTGTTACGCTGTCAGTCATTAACATGCAGCCTTAGGTTACTTAGTATTACAATAAAGTTGTAGTTGTTAAGCCTTATATACTTACACACAGGCATTTGTTCATCATGCCTTAGTTTACTTTATGGTACCAGTTATTTATTTATTTTGACTTAGCAAACCACGATGTGTTTATCACCGTCATAGCTTCTTAGTCTTTGATTTACTTAGTCTTAGATATACTTCAGTTATTCTGTTTTCAGTTCTCTTGCATCATTGGGTGAATGAATCAAACATGTATTTAAAAACACACAAAATAAAACAACCTAAATAAAAATTAATAACTAATTGATTAACTAAAATCTAATAAAGCTAATTTAGTGTAAGCATTTACAGGTATAGTTATTCAACATGGTTATTGTTTGGACTGAGTGACGGACGGTACTGCTCACCTTAGTATATTACCTTTAACAACTCACTTGCACTTCCCTCACTTTTGTTATCTACGGGCCTGGTGATGTATGGTTTGTTTTCTTGAAATTGTGGTTGTATATTCAATTTGGCTGTTTGTCCTGCTCACGTATGTGACCAGTCTTAAGGGTATCATTCAGATTAGGCATACGTTGCTTTCAGTGTACATTTTGTTTTATACATTAGATGTAATAATAATAACTTATTTTGAACTAGTTATGTGTAACTGTACTTGTTGTATGTTTAGATTTATGTATAGCATTCTTTCTTATATTACAGGGTGATTGAGTGATCAATTGAATAATTGACATATACATATGATGTTGGAATAAACGTCACCTCACAAACACACCCGCAGCTCGTCATTATTATTGACTCACCCATGCCACATGTATTGTATGTATAAATTGAGGTGAGGCTTTGTCTGACTAAATCATTAATCATTGCATAAATGTCACTCTTATTTGCTTCCATTTATTTTTGGGGTAACCAAAGTTATCACTTGCAGATTTTAATGTGCAAAGGGATTAACTTCAGTTAATTTAAATGATAATGTAACTGTTGATTCATGTGTTAAAAGACTATAAGAGTTATTATTTGCCATTTCGGCAACTGTTTAATGCTTCATGTCAATGATATACAGTCACGAATATTTGTGTACTTCCAGAAACTCGTCATTTATGTCTGACTCGGGCATCGTTTGTCCTCAATAAAGGCTGTGTTTGTCAAAAGTGGCGTTTTCTTCATCAGGAAGGGAAACTATGGAAAAGAGTTTTTCCAAAGCAAGCGCTCCCCCCGCATCCTCGCTCATAGATACAAGCAAGAAGTAAATTATTTACTAAATACTTACTAAATATAGTTACTACAAACTTACTAAAGGATATACTGCTATGACTAGTCTTATTTAAAGCTCTGTATGTAATCAAGTTAACTTTAATGTTGGAAATTTGTTCCAAGATATAACTAAACCAAAGTATAACATAAAATAATTGGCTGTTCGGGTATTTAGAAGATTTATAAATTTGTAATTATTTAGCTTAACATAGTAAAGATTTGGTACTTATTTAGTTCGTACATTATGAACATTTAAGCAATACATGTTCACTTTCTGATATGTTTAAACAATAAAGGCGCACAGCAAAGGCCCCATCTTTAGAGCTTCTGTAGGACTGAATCTTGAAATTAGCTGTACAACATCAAAAAAAAATTGTTTTCGATCTTCAGAGATAAACGGACGTTACAACCTGAAGACGGTTCTCGAGATCAATGTTGAATTGTTGTCCTTACGTTTTTGCTAACTCTTTCAAACAATTATCCCCCAGTGTTGTTGTCTTACTACAGGCCAGGGGGGGGCCTTGTCCGTTATTTGTATATGGCAATAGCAATTAAAGGTATATGCCTTTTTGACATAAACTGTTAGAATTTAGTTATTATTGGGGCGGTGGCGTAGCCTAGTGATTGAAGCGTTCGCTCGTCACGTTGAAGTCCCGAGGGTGTGAAGCCCATTTCTGGTGTGACCAGCTGTGATATTGCTGGAATATTGCTAAAAACGGTGTAAAACTCACTCACTTTGTAGTCATTACTCTGTACATGGCGTCTGACTGTCACTCACTCTGTCACTGACTAGAAACAAGGACAAACAACAAGATCAGGTGGCCAAGCTCATTGACTTGGTTGAAACATGTGATCGTATTCTAATTGCGTAGATCGTTCCTCATGTCAGTCACTAGATTGTCTGATCGATTTTTTACTGACTTCGTAAGGCTGGAATACTGCTGAGTGCGGCTTTAAACAACACCAACATAAAAGAACGCTTAAGAAAACAAAGCAAGTCATGCACCAGCTGATCACTTTATTGATCCTTTTTACAATTTAGTTGACATTGCTGTTGATCCAGGGAATGTACTCTGACACACGCGTGTAGACGCTGGGATAGTCCCCTCCGCACGTGCTGATTCCCCATGACGTCACGCCAATCAGAACATCAGACTGGCCATTTCTGATGATCATTGGTCCACCGCTATCACCCTGACAACAGTAACCATTGACAACATCTTAGCTGGTACACACAACAGGTCTACAAGTGTAAAATTATCATCTAAATTTGCCGTTTTATTTAGCTGGCAGAATGTGGATTACGGTACTGAGTTTCAGTTCCTGTCTAACTGGTATCCTATTCCATACCTGTGATCTTGTTTTACTGTCCTTTCTAGACAGGTATTATTAGCGAGTTAGATGTTGTGGCTCAAATAATATGAGTGCAATGTGAAAAGGTACCTGACTTGTACTGTTTGGAGTTATAGAACACCCTACAACATTACAATTTGATGGTGATTAATAAACATGCTCTTTAGCTTGGCAGGGTGTAAGAATCTACATTGAGACGTCGCTCTCTGCTTTAAACAAGACATTGTTACCGGTACATGTGTGTGTTTCGTCACATGCTAACTGTGCAGTCGAAACCTACCACAGACTCGTTTTTGTAGAGATGTTTGAAGATTATTGAATTGGTTCCGTGGAGTTTAAAACCAAAACAGATGCAATACGTAAAATAATATGCACTTATCGTGCAGATTGTAACATTTGAAAGATTGTAGCATTTTAAAAAATTGGAACCAGACAGCCGGAAGTAGGTATTAGACCCGAACTGGAATTCTAATGTATAAAACTAGAATAGAAACAGATGATCAGAGCCATCATGAAAAGTGCAACTCACATTGCAAGCTGAAGCTTGTTGACTACTGTCGTAGATGCAGATGTGTTGGTCGTTGATGGTGGCACCGCTGACGGAAGCCCACATGCTGCTGCATTGAGCGTTTGAGATCTTCTGCATAGTCACCTCTTGCAGTCTGTCTGGGAGAGTCCCGCCTCCTGCAAACATAGTGATGAGGACCAAATATACAAAAGACAGCATTAAACTAATATGATAGTATACTTACTCACTACTTTACTAATGAGGGGTAGCCTAGTGGTTAAAGCGTTCGCTCGTCAAGCCGAAGACCCTGATTCGATTCCCCACATGGGTATAATTTGCGTAGCCCATTTCTGGTGTCCGCCGGCGTGATTTTGCTTGAATATTGCTAGAAAGCGGACTAAATCTTAACCCACTCTCTCACTTTACAAATGGTTAACAGGTGGACATTTCACTTGCCTCTGCATGTGTTTGTGACGGTTACCTTTGTGCGGACACCTGCTGTCATAACTACTTGATATTGATTCACAAACACATTCTGATAATATAGTCGGAATCGTAAAATCGACTCTGCCTTTAAGCAGAATTTTATACAACTCTTGCATCATGTACTGAACTTCTCTATGACAAAACCTGGAGATGTTTTTCCTAAGTTTAGTTGACAAGCCTTGTTGTGACTGAAAACCACTCACTCACTCACTCACTCGAAGAAACAATCCTTTTTCGTTTTCATATTTACCGACAGTTCTTCCCCAACCGGAAATGATGACGTCTTCACCATCATACGAAGCGCCCTCGGGAGAGACATCGATCAGTTGGACAGTGTTGGTGATTGAGGCAGCACTGTTCAGTTCCAACAAGGCGATGTCGTTAGGGTAGCCGGCTGCGTTACCGTTGTAGCCAGGATGCTGAATAGAATATACAAAAATGGAATACTCGTATTCCCACCAATCGTTTATGTTCTGTTGAGTGCAACAGTCAAGCTCGTGTTGACATAAGCCTGTAAGTCCAATTTGCTATCATGGAAACCGGGAAAAATAAAATCTTCAAGAGTTCCTAAATGGCAAAGGATACCAGTTCATATTTTACTTTGCTCATGAATTTCTTCATGAACGCCAAAGTTTACCAATCACTGTAGCCAGCAATGGAAGCACTGGACGTGGCGTGTCACAGGCGCCACCTACCGAAGCACCTAACGTGATGTCACAAGCGCCACCTAGCAACCTACCATGACAACTCTTGTGACCCCAATCCTCTGTTCTCCTGACTCCGTGCTGCTGAGACTGTGTTCGCCCAGTTGAACCCTCAGGGAGCTGGCGCTGGAACATAAGTCAGCATTAGTCAACAAGGGGCAGATAACCCAAGGTGATCGGCTCATAATTTATCATAGGTCGTAGATTATTGCACATATTACTCTCTGTTTCCAGATGTAACGAGTCCACGTCACGGAGATATCACCTCAGTCAGTCTACGGTTGCAATCCATCACTCGTCTCATTAAAATGTCATGGACATTGTATCATTAGCGCGATGGGAACAATTTCCCGAAATCGTCAAGAGCAAGCATCATTCTTAGCAAGAGAAAAATGTATTTTTCAGAAATTCCGAGATATATGGTACGGTATAAGTAGATCCTCAGTACCGATTCATATGGGAAAACCCACGAGAGATGCAGAAAACACCATGATATGGGCAACTATATCCGCGGTTCTGCATAATCAACAACAGGGCTGAAACACTGTTACTTCCAAGCATTTCTGTGTGGCAAACACAGTTGGGATTCAAACCTGGAAACAGATGATGATAGCTGCGATAACTGCATCTCAGTACTGCTCGCTAGAAGCGATTTTCAATTTGAATTTATGCACATTGTTTGCGCTCGGCATTTTCCCATCTAACTGACGGCGGTCTGTAACCAGTCAGGACCAGACAATCCAGTGATCAACAGCATGAGCATCGATCTACGCAACTGGGATGCGATGACATATGCCAACCAAGTCAGAGAGCCTGACCACCCAATCCCGTTCGTCGCCTCTTACGACAAGCATGGGTAGCTTGATACCCGGATCTTCACAGGTTAGTCCATTCTTCAATTGGAATGGATTCATCCACTGAGCAATGCATGCTGTCCCCCAGAACGCAGATCATGTATAGCATTGTTAGGTTTGTTAAGCGGCGGATGAACTGGGGACAGAAGGCGTTGTACAACTAGGAGCTCACAGTGTTCATGTATGGAAAGTGTCCCCAGTATCTCGTCGTAAGACTAGCGGAGGGGTTCCCCGCTGGGATTGCCCCGTAGGAACCCAGTTCTGTCCAAAGGGTCCGTTATCTGTCTTTAGGGGTGACTTAGAGGACCGGTTGTAAGACTCAGTGACTTGAGTAGATGCGCGTCACATCGATCACGAAATCGACTCACGATGTCACGTTACATATGTGATGTCATAAACAATGGATGACGTCATCTGTAACTTGCAAGACGCTTTACCACGTGCCGCTTCCCAAACACAGAAAACAAAGGAATGGTTGGCGTGAACACAAACATCAGTAAGAAGCAGGAACATTGATGAACAGTATATTCAAATGTACCTGGCACCGTCCACGCAGTGAGCGGCGGTGAGGCACCACCTCGGAGCAATGAGACTGCATCCACAGCTGTGAGACCAGAAAATGCCCAGAGTGGCCCGCTGGAGGGAGGCGATGTACGGGTGGCTGTGCTGTGCTGCCTCAGAACCACCCACGATACGGGTGGATGGGGCGGCTGAAACCAGAACATAATGTCAGGGAACAGTTCAAAAGTTCAGTGTCGAATAAAAATCGAATTTCTCTATTTTCAGCGTTTTTAAAAAATGTCAATATTGGGAAAATACTGTATTCCAATTAAGTGTGTGGAAAAACAAGGCGGATTTCTTTTCACTTGTGTCGAACAATATTGAATGAGATCCGGCATTTGGACTTCTTGGGTACAATAGACCATATTATTTGAAACTGTGCGTTAAAGGACTCTTGTTTAGAAGTTATATAATAACGGGCGGTTGGGTAGCCTAGTGGTTAAAGCGTTCGCTCATCACGCCGAACACCCGGGTTCGATTCCCCACATGGGAATAAAGTGTGAAGCCCATTTCTGGGTTCCCCCGCCGTGATATTGCTTGAATATTGCTAAAAGCGGCGTAAGACTAAACTCACTCACTTTAGGATAACAGTTGTAGGTGAACAATTGACTTGACTTTGCCCGCGCCACACCAGGGTAGGATAGACTCTACTTTTTGCGACCTCAAGGAATCATCCCTGATTGATAGTAATTCTTAAACACATGCTCGAAATCGTACCACGGACTTTTAGAAAATATTTATCATAAATATTTAAAGTGTTTTATCGGATTTATTTGTTTAAGGGTTTGGATGGTCAAGTTTCCCGAGCGACTTTTATTTTAGTTGGAGTCAATAAGTAATTGTTCTAATCGTCAGTTTTTTCTGAAAATGCTTACAAGGGGCTATCAAAAGGTTTTGGGCCTAAAATACTTCTGATATGTGCATGATAAAAATAACTGTGTGATACTAAGAATGGTTTATATTCATCACTTAAACGTAATATTGACATGCACACGTCGCTAGCTTCCTGTCACGTGACATCTAATCACATGTACTCCTCTTGAAACGGCAGAAATGGATAAGATTGAGTACAGAAGAGTCATATAGGTTTTTGTCCTCGGGGGCCAGGGGCGGATACAGCTTTTTTAGAAGTGTGTGTGTGTGTGTGTGTGTGTGTGTGTGTGTGTGTGTGTGTGTGTGTGTGTGTGTGTGCGTGCGTGTGTGTGTGTGTGTGTGCGTGCGCGCACTATTGAGAAAAGGAGGGGTACACACTTCATGCTCACCCGAGTTTCAATGGTCATTTCACAATCTTTCATGAATTCTTGTTTAGATCTGGGTTATAAGGCAATAATTTTAAAGGAGAAATGGACTAAAGAAATAACTAAAATAAATGTACGACAACTTACCGGCGGCCACGGACACTAAAGCTGCGATGATGAAGATCATTGTGGCGAGGTCGTCACTGTCTGTGTTGGAAGTGAACGTTCAACATCAATTTATACACAGAATTGGGAGACAAGGTGTTCTTTCCCATAGTTTCTTCAATAGCTTGAGAACAAACCATCTGTCACATAATGTTTATGATATTACCATGTATCGGTTGGAAACCTACTTGATATTATGTGAAGTCCCATACATTTTATACTGTAGTCTGAACTGGCACACGTCGTCACCCAAAGAACACGTGGACCTTTTCTCCGCAACAAATCCCTTCGATATGTTGAACTCGTCATGTTGTTGAGGATGAATTAAACATATTTACAAAACATACGAAATCGAAAACAAGTAGAACGTACTTTTGAGAGAGTAGTTTTACCCTTTTGACGTTGCGAAGTGAGGTGCAATGGGGTTTTGAACGTCGAAGTCAAAATTATATATCGCTGCACGTGCATGTGTGGGTGACAGCCCTGACGTTTGGTGCTAGCACAATAAGATACTACGATATATTAAGCGAGTGAGTGAGTGCATGAGTGAGTGAGTGAGTGTGTGACTTGTGTTTAACACAGCTTACACGTAACATGTTAAATTTGGATACAGTACAGTCTTCAAGCTTCACACTGATAGTGGGGCGGTGGGGTAGCCTAATGGTTAAAGTGTAGACCCGAGTTCGATTCCCCACATTGGTACAATGTGTGAAGCCCATTTCTGGTGTCCAAAGCCATGATATCGCTGGAACATTGCTAAAAGCGGCGTAAAACAAAACTCTCACTCACTCACTCTGGTAGTATGGTTCCGACTCTTATATGGACAAAACAACATAGAGTGCTAGAATCTGTACTTTACTTAGAACGTGTACTCCCAAGAGTTACATTTGTTATATTTGGCCACTAAGACGTTGTGTAGTTCAAACCTTTCGATCTATCAATGGTGTATCTGCCAAAAGTATCAGAAGATCCCGACATTAAGCAAGTGAACAATGGTGTGAGTGCCAAAATTGGGAGAAGATCCCGACATTAAGCAGGTGAACAATGGTGTGTGTGCCAAAAGTGGGAGAAGATCCCAACATTAGGCAGGTGAACAATAGTGTGTCAGTGCCAAACGTGGGAGAAGATCCCGACATTAAGCAGGTGAACAATGGTGTGTGTGTCAAAAGTGGGAGAAGATCCCGACATTAAGCAGGTGAACAATGGTGTGTGTGTCAAAAGTGGGAGAAGATCCCAACATTAAGCAGGTGAACAATGGTGTGTGTGCCAAAAGTGGGAGAAGATCGCGACATTAAGCAAGTGAACAATGGTGTGTGTGCCAAAAAGTGGGAGAAGATCCCGATATTAAGCAGGTGAATAATGGTGTGTCTGAACAATGGTGTCTCTGCCAAAAGTGGGAGAAGATCCCGACATTAAGCAAGTGAACAATGGTGTATGTGCTAAACGTGGCAGAACATCTCGACATCAAGAAGGTGAACAATGGTGTCTCTTCCAAAAGTGGGAGAAGATCCCTACATTAAGCAGGTGAACAATGGTGTGAGTGCCAAACGTGGGAGAAGATCCCGACATTAAGCAGGTGAACAATGGTGTGTGTGCCAAAAGTGGGAGAAGATCCCGACATTAAGCAGGTGAACAATAGTGTGTCAGTGCCAAACATGGGAGAAGATCCCGACATTAAGCAGGTGAACAATGGTGTGTGTGTCAAAAGTGGGAGAAGATCCCGACATTAAGCAGGTGAACAATAGTGTGTCAGTGCCAAACGTGGGAGAAGATCCCGACATTAAGCAGGTGAACAATGGTGTGTGTGTCAAAAGTGGGAGAAGATCCCGACATTAAGCAGGTGAACAATGGTGTGTGTGTCAAAAGTGGGAGAAGATCCCAACATTAAGCAGGTGAACAATGGTGTGTGTGCCAAAAGTGGGAGAAGATCGCGACATTAAGCAAGTGAACAATGGTGTGTGTGCCAAAAAGTGGGAGAAGATCCCGATATTAAGCAGGTGAATAATGGTGTGTCTGAACAATGGTGTCTCTGCCAAAAGTGGGAGAAGATCCCTACATTAAGCAGGTGAACAATGGTGTGAGTGCCAAACGTGGGAGAAGATCCCGACATTAAGCAGGTGAACAATGGTGTGTGTGCCAAAAGTGGGAGAAGATCCCGACATTAAGCAGGTGAACAATAGTGTGTCAGTGCCAAACATGGGAGAAGATCCCAACATTAAGCAAGTGAACAATGGTGTGAGTGCCAAAAGTGGGAGAAGGTCCCGACATTAAGCAGGTGAATAATGGTGTGCTAAAAGAGGGAGAAGATCCCGACATTAAGCAGGTGAACAATGGTGTGAGTTCCAAACGTGGGAGAAGATCCCAACATTAAGCAAGTGAACAATGGTGTGTCTGCCAAAAGTGTCAGAAGATCTCGACATTAAGCAGGTGAATAATGGTGTGAGTGCCAAAAGTGGGAGAAGATCCCAACATTAAGCAAGTGAACAATGGTGTCAGTGCCAAAAGTGGGAGAAGATCCCTACATTAAGCAGGTGAACAATGGTGTGAGTGCCAAACGTGGGAGAAGATCCCGACATTAAGCAGGTGAACAATGGTGTGTGTGCCAAAAGTGGGAGAAGATCCCGACATTAAGCAGGTGAACAATGGTGTGTGTGCCAAAAGTGGGAGAAGATCCCGACATTAAGCAGGTGAACAATGGTGTGTGTGCCAAAAGTATGAGCAGATCCCGACATTAAGCAGGTGAACAATGGTGTGTGTGCCAAAAGTGGGAGAAGATCCCAACATTAAGCAAGTGAACAATGGTGTGAGTGCCAAAAGTGGGAGAAGATCCGGACATTAAGCAGGTGAACAATGGTGTGAGTGTCAAAAGTGGGAGAAGATCCCAACATTAAGCAGGTGAACAATGGTGTGAGTGCCAAACGTGGAAGAGGATCCCGACATTAAGCAGGTGAATAATGGTGTGTCTACCAAAAGTGGGAGAAGATCCCGACATTAAGCAGGTGAATAATGGTGTGTCTACCAAAAGTGGGAGAAGATCCCGACATTAAGCAGGTGAACAATGGTGAGTGTGCCAAAAGTGGGAGAAGATCCCGACATTAAGCAGGTGAATAATGGTGTGTGAGCCAAAAATGGGAGAAGATCCCAACATTAAGCAAGTAAACAATGGTGTGAGTGTCAAAAGTGGGAGAAGGTCCCGACATTAAGCAGGTGAACAATGGTGTGTGTGCTAAACGTGGGAGAAGATCCCGACATTAAGCAGGTGAACAATGGCGTGAGTTCCAAACGTGGGAGAAGATCCCAACATTAGGCAAGTGAACAATGGTGTGTCTACCAAAAGTGTCAGAAGATCTCGACATTAAGCAGGTGAATAATGGTGTGAGTGCCAAAAGTGGGAGAAGATCCCAACATTAAGCAGGTGAACAATGGTGTCAGTGCCAAAAGTGGGAGAAGATCCCTACATTAAGCAGGTGAACAATGGTGTGAGTGCCAAACGTGGGAATAGATCCCGACATTAAGCAGGTGAACAATGGTGTTTGTGCCAAAAGTGGGAGAAGATCCCGACATTAAGCAGGTGATCAATGGTGTGTGTGCCAAAAGTATGAGCAGATCCCGACATTAAGCAGGTGAACAATGGTGTGTGTGCCAAAAGTATGAGCAGATCCCGACATTAAGCAGGTGAACAATGGTGTGTGTGCCAAAAGTGGGAGAAGATCCCGACATTAAGCAGGTGAACAATGGTGTGTGAGCCAAAAATGGGAGAAGATCCCAACATTAAGCAAGTGAACAATGGTGTGAGTGCCAAAAGTGGGAGAAGATCCGGACATTAAGCAGGTGAACAATGGTGTGAGTGCCAAAAGTGGGAGAAGATCCCAATATTAAGCAGGTGAACAATGGTGTGAGTGCCAAACGTGGAAGAGGATCCCGATATTAAGCAGGTGAATAATGGTGTGTTTACCAAAAGTGGGAGAAGATCCCGACATTAAGCAGGTGAATAATGGTGTGTCTACCAAAAGTGGGAGAAGATCGCGACATTAAGCAGGTGAACAATGGTGAGTGTGCCAAAAGTGGGAGAAGATCCCGACATTAAGCAGGTGAATAATGGTGTGTGAGCCAAAAATGGGAGAAGATCCCAACATTAAGCAAGTAAACAATGGTGTGAGTGTCAAAAGTGGGAGAAGGTCCCGACATTAAGCAGGTGAATAATGGTGTGTCTACCAAAAGTGGGAGAAGATCCCGACATTAAGCAGGTGAACAATGGTGTGCCAAAAGAGGGAGAAGATCCCGACATTAAGCAGTTGAACAATGGTGTGTGTGCTAAACGTGGAAGAAGATCCCGACATTAAGCAAGTAAACAATGGTGTGTGTGCCAAAAGTGGGAGGAGATCCCGACATTAAGCAGGTGAACACTGTCGTGTCTGCCAAAAGTATAAGAAGATCCCGACATTAAGCAGGTGAATCGATGTTCATGATATTGATCACTGGATGGTTCTTTCCAGACTCGATTATTTACAGACTACCGCCATATACCTGGAATATTGCTGAGTGCGGCGTAAACAACAAACAAGCAAGCCAGTTGAGGACTTTTACCGAGATACGTGATATGCGAATATATTATCAGGACTTTAGAATAATTTTCAACAAGGAAGGACCACCTGTGTTTCAGTGGAACAATTCGCTGTTATAAGTTATGTCCCTTAGTCATGGTTTGAACTCAGTATCGCCCTAATTGTTATCAGTTGTTCGTCTAAGGTATGCCGTGCTTGTTAGGAGGGGCGTTAGGGTAGCCTTGTAACTCGTCACGCCAAAGACCCGGATTCGATTACATGGGTGCAATGTAAGTCCGTTTCTTGTGTCCCCGCGCTGGGATAATGTTTGAATTTTGTTAAATGCGACTAAAAATCATACTCACTCATTAACTCGGTCTGTAAGCCCACTTCATTTACAGAATATTCATATCTACCACAGTTTCTAATCGCAGATAGTTTGTATATTTCATAGAAACTGCAAAAACTTGCGTACAGTCGCTAGCAGCTGGAGGGATTGAATATATCCTTCTTG